ATATATATATATATATATATATATATATATATATATATATATATATGGCTTAGGTTGCTACATGTATATATATATATATATATATATATATATATATATATATATATATATACACACATATATATATTAATTGTGAAAAAATTGTATGCACAACAAAAACGCTTTTTCGTTGCCTTATTTATCATATCAAATAAAAAAATAGAGTCTATATCGGCAGTATTTATTTTAACGACAAAAATATTCATCCATATTCTATTAGTCTAAACGTATCTCCTCGGTATTAGCGCGATGTGTTAAATATTTGAATGATTTATCGGGAAATACTTTTGTCCCTAGCATCGGCATGCCCGTGGCAGAGACGCGACTACCGGGTCCCTTCATAGTACTCTCAGCGTTCACACGACCGCGATCGAGCAAACCTACATGGCGGAGGAATGCGACGAGAACGACTATCATCTCGATCTGGACTCCTACAAGCCCGTGCAACCGATCAAATACGATCATGCAGTCACACTGTTCCCCGTTGCCGCGCCACATACCGGCATGAATCTTCATCTACTGCAGGTATGTTACTACATTATGTAGGCAGACGCGCGTTTCATGCAGGAAAATAGATACCGTATCGAAATAAAAATCTCACCCTTTAACCACATAAACAACAAGTTTGCGGTTCTGATTTACCTACGTGATCGATACATACTTCAATAACTTTTACTACACGGTTTTTCTATTCTATATGCAGACAAGAAAATCTTTTCCTCCTTTCTTCGATGTAGAAGGGATAAATATTTTATTAAAATTATGATATTGAATATTTACACTGAGAAATGTTTGGTGTTTGTAATATCACAAATAGAAAAATGTCACATAGAAAAATAATTACTGTAAATTGTGGTCAAGAAAATTACTTTTTTTTATTAAATTTTACTGTAATGTTGGTGAGAATAATTTTATATTATATACACTGCTACTATTATTCTATTACAAAAAATATAGTTGAGGTCAAAGATAACTATAATCTCAGTTAAGTTTACCATTTTTTTTCTCTCACTGCATGATATAAGAGCTAATATATAAATTAATATATTATTTTTACAAACTTAAAATTTTTATCCGGAAATGTATCAAATCAGAGTTTGCAATAGACCTTAATGTTTAATTAACGTGACAAACTGATCGCGTTTAAAAAAAATATAAAGTGACAAAAGTGATAGATATGAAGAAAGAGAAGATATGAAGAATAGATATGAATATGAAGAAGAATAAAATATGAAAAAAAATAAAATATGAAGATAAAATATGAACTAAAAGTTTAAGTTATCTTTTTATGATTTATTCACGGAGTGTGTCTGGAGGCGTGAAACCTCTAAAATTCTATTCGTGAAATTCGACTCACGTCGACCAAATCAATCGGAAAGAAAAACGAATCTTTTTCGATTCAAAGTTGGTGGAATCACTTCGCGGTTCCAAGTACAGGTAAACAAAAAAATTATTGCGTAAAAAAGTAAAAACTTGAATCTCCAATTTCAAACTCATTTTCTCCTGCTCGGTATTTCGTAAAAATCACATTATTATAGAAAAACGCGAATTAGTCCACGTAAAATGTATACCTGATATTGCAAATTAATTAAATTTATCATAATTATTAATATATTATCAAGATTTCACGATTAAATTTTCGCTTTATGATTAAGTAACACTCGCTCTTCATACTGCGTTTGGATTACGCATCAGAAACATATATACGCGCGCGCGCACACACACACACTCATTCACAGACATTGTCTGAGGTAGCGCGATCGTTTTGGAGCCGAGAGACACCGGGTCATGCAACGAAACTGCGAATTGTATACATGACATCCCGATACTGTATCTGGAGTGCATCGCAAATATTGGACGCACAGGATTTGTTGTACAATACAACACAGTGCCGGTACGCTTTTGATCCTGACGTGCTGTTACGGCTGCAGTAGAATTGGATAATAAATAAATCGCAACGTTTTGGCGGTGGTTTGCCCGCAAGATCTATATCATCATAATGTATAACGATATTTTATTTGACGTGTCATTAGTAAATTATGCATTACGCAAAAATCACCGGACGGTAAACTTAATATCTAAATATAATAACTCAAAAGACATTATTGTTGCGTTACGAATTACTACGTTACACGAAATTACTACGTTACGCGTTATTTAAAGTGGAACAAAATATAGAGAATAACTTGTCAGTATTTTTTCGTTCGCGAATTTTTAAGCAATTTTCGAATCTATCTCTTGTCGCGTTCCATTTTACTATTGAATGTCCGATGTTCGTGGCAATTGAACGTTAATTCTTTTGTCGAACCAAATCCCGTGAACCTACGTGAGATCCTTTAATTTTTAATTTATTAATTCTTTATGTCAATGAGCTGAGCTTAACGAGCAAGTCGAAATCTCTCGCAAAAATGAATGACTCTCTATGCAATAACGTTTAATGAGTCACTTTTTGCGCGAGAACGCAAAACGATTATATGTATAACGTCTGGGGAAATATTTACTTCCGAAAGAAGCGAAAGAGAGAGTGGTCGCGAGCCATTTTTATTATTTCGTCTCATGAAATGAATACTGCTTTTCCTATCTCTGACTTCATGGTAGGTCCATGAATATGAATTTAATATATCCTAACAGAAGGGGCGCTCGAGTGGCAAAAATTCATGTACTAGCGAGGTGGAAGACGATGCCGTGTTCAAAAGAATCTTTCATGTCTCGAGCGCACTTCCAGTTATTTAAATACGGTACTCGCGTCTGCTGTAATGATGATCGATGCAAATGACTGGCGCAAGTACGGAAATAAATTTATGTTTATATGTTGCGAATTTTGCAGCGTCGCATTTAAATGACAACTCTAAAGAGCACCATTATAAAAAAAATCATACAAATCGATCATTAGAAAAAATATAATCCCATTCATAGCATTCTCTTATATACTGCACTGAGAAAAATGATTGATCCAACAAAGTTATAGATAATTTTAGCTTCAATCATATTTTTTGTAGTAATATGATAACATTCTCTTATATATTGCACTAAGAGAAAAAAATGATTAATCCAACAAAATTATAGTTAATTTTAGCCCCATTATATTTTTTATAATAAAATAATAGTAATAATATGCATATAAGATTATTATCACTAAAATTAGAGTTGAGTTTAATAAGAAAAATGATTTTACTTTGGCCATAATTTATAGTAATTATGTACCTATGTACTTATAGTTATAAATACCAAGCATTCTTTCTCAGTGTGCTCTTTAAAGTACAGGCAGTACTTTAAATTCTTCACAGAAATACTATACTTTTAACTAGTGATTCAGTTAAATATAGCACTGCAATAAGTAAAACTTCGTTAAAAAATTAGTTAGTAATAGCGATTGTTATCATCACTGATGTAATTGCAAACACAGATAGTGTCATTGCGTGTAAGACGCATGAAAACCGTTAATTCCATCGCCATAAGCGCAGAAAGTTGGATTTGGCACAACATTTAACGATCTTGTGCACTACAGATTATGCCAATGAAATTTTGCTTCCATTGGTCAGAATCAGTAAAATATAAGACGGAGCAGTACAATAAGAATGCTTCTACTGAAAATGAATATTTACTGATTATCAATGAAGTATTCCTTTTACTGATTCAATCAGAAACATTTTTTATCGATTAATTTTAAGAGAGTAGTTTCAAGATATTTCTTTTAACTAAAAGGGAAATATTCTGACATCCAAAAAAGAAATTCAATTTACAAGATACTATTTTCTGTGATTCTATATTCGAAAAGAAAACTTTTGTTAAAAGAATACTCCTCTTCTAATGAAAAAGAAGCATATTATTATGCTTGGAATATTTTCCTTTTGGACTTAAAATATTTTAGAGGGCACATATAATTTAGGGGGATACGAACAGAAGGAACGATCTCACTCGAAAATTACAGCCCATGAATGATCTGTACGTAAGTTAAGTTAAAGAAAAATAGTTTGAAGTATGATTCGAATTCTATCTAAGTATTGTCACATCGTGTCGGGCACGATGTTCAATGGAAATTCCTGTCATTACTTTGGAGGAAAACTCCAAGGTTACCTTTGAAATTTGAAGAAACAACTGCGCATTTTATCTTTAATATTATAGCCGAGAGGATAGGGGCGGCGACGATACGAGACTCCTTGGCTCGTAGTTCGCCGTTTAAGCCATGCGAATCGCAAAAGGAAGTATGAGGGAGATATTCGCCTTTGGCACTATGCGTCTTCTATCTTCGTGAACATCTCTTAAGAGTGTATGTGTGTGTGTGTGTGAATATCTCTTAAGAATGCGCGTGTATATGTATGTGTGTAAGATAGAGGAAGCTAAATAATTGATGTTTGCTTGACTAGAGCGTATCGAGATTAGCGCGCGGATCTTCATTAAGGAGTGAGAAGCATCCGGGCGTTTGAAGAACCGACATCGATGCGGCGGTACTTCATAGCCCCGGACAATTTCGTAATATTAATATCTTCTTCCACGGTGCGCCCCGTCAACGAGATAAAAGATATCTCGGTCGGTACGTAGCGCGTCCCACGCGTCAAAAGCGATTTCAAAGGGACCAGCCTTACTAGCCCATACCCGCTGACATGCCTCGCGGAAATTAGAGAGGAAACAGAGAAATATGCGGGAGGGCGAGGAGCAGGAAGAGAGGAAGGGAAAAAGAAACGTGGGTGAGCGCAAGGACGCTCAGAGAGAGGGAAACTCTGCGGCAGGCGAACTACAGAGCGGGATCTACGGGAAAAATGTTGTAACGTGGCGCGCAAAACCAGGTCATCCTTTTGAATCGAGCCAGCAATTGTCAGCGTTAATTGAGTGGCGAGCGGGAAAAATGGGACACGATGTATTTGCGGCGAAGGATCGGTTCATATGGATAAATTCGTCAGCCTGTGTTCGCGAAATATCAGTATAACATGGCGCGCAATGCGCGGATTCCATTCTCTTTCTTTCCCTCTCTCTCTGTTGCAAAACGCATAACAACTGATCCATCGACGATGTCGGACGCGGAATACGCGGCCAGAGTCGCAAAGGTCTTCCTCGATTTGATTCCGACGCGCGGATAACGGTTGGCTCATAAAAATAATTGATTGAACGCCGATAAATGTCAGGAAAATGCGGATATATAGCCGAGCTGAGCGTGCACCGCGCAGCTTCCGTCATGTTCGACACAATTGCGATAATACCAGCGAAATATCGCGTCCGCGAACGATCGCTCAGAAAAATGGCTTTGTAGTCACACCGCGAAAATTATCTAGATACGAGAAATTAGCTAAGATGAATAAATGACTAGCAAACACTGCGATATCGCACATGTTTTGTGTTTAGTCGGGACAGATGACAGAGATTGCAGAATTTCTTCACTATATGTGAAATTTAGCAAGAAAGTGGCTCTCTCTGTGGCTCTTCCAGATTAAAGCCAGTCACACTTCTTATGTAAGTGACTGTGCTAAACAAAAAGAAGACCAGCAACTACAGACAAATGAAGGTAGGGAAGACCGGAGCTAGATGTCCCATATTTCAGAATTTCGAAATTACAACCTTTCAAACAACTAATTGTTGTGACTAACTGCACAAACATGATAGAGGCAGCCTTCTTCTATTCATTAATGCTCGCCACGATCTTGTCAACCGTATATTATTTAATTATAATTGAAATACAAATATGTTGCAAAGTGGCCTTGGTACCGGGTTAAATTTCAATCCCAGGAGCTCTGGATAAGAAGTTCATATCAAATATGTATTCTAGTTAGTGGTTCCTGAGTCTCCGCAAGAGGTTTCCACAATCCTCTTTAATTATGGGCCAACTTTACCTCATCCATCCATATGCTCGATTTGGATCATTTTATAAGTGAAACTTGTTTTTATTATCCGAAATGTATATCATACGCCTACAAGAAACTTCATTTTAACTAGTAACTCGTCATGTGACTTTATTCACTCACGATAGAGAATATTAACCTCTAAACTGCCGGGAAAGCCACTTTTGAGGCTTTGCATAAATCTCAAAATTCTGCGCCATGTATATATTATTTATATAGAAAAATTTTTGAGAAAAAAATCACTTTTTAATGAAAAATTCCGGGAGCCTAAAGGTTGATACAACATTTTGAAAGACTCAAAAATTTACTTTACTACTACTAAATCAGTTTTTTTCTATTTTTCAACTGTAATATTTCAATTTTAATGAAACCCAGGAGAAAATATTTACGTTCTGAAAGGACTACTTCGCAATTTTGTATATTTACTGTTCTCTCAAGATAAATATTTAAAACTCTCAAGATAAATATTCAAAAAACACATGAGCCGGTCTCCTCTATAACTCCGTAATCTACATTTGCTTGCAGATATTGCTAGAATGCTCTTATTGTAAATTCTATGTATCACAGACAATTTTCTGGCAAGTACAGAAAGTGATGATAAATTTTAACTGCGACATTTAGAATTAATTTACCTAAGCCAGTAAAACATTTCTTTGACTAGCTTTCGGCTAAATATGCGTATTCAAAAGCCTTAACTTGTCGCGACGTCGTCTCTATGCTTTGGCACAGAGCACAAATCAAGCTTCGAATCGCGCGCAGGAGCGGGTAAGTGAAAAGAATAGGTAAATACTTCTGGGACACTCTGTGCCCGCGGAGCGGTCTCGTCGCTTTAAAAGCGTCGTAAAATCGGACTACGAATGTCAAATTTTAAAGCGCGATGAAGATTACGCTTGAGTTAGCAGCTTTCTAACAAGTCGTCGTAAAAATTGCAACCCTCTGACGTTCAAGCGAGGGTGATATTTTTTAATGGGACAAGACGTATTGGTCGTGCGAACGCGAGGAACCTGAACGACGATTGACTGTTCGATGTGCCTTCGAAAATTGCGGCGGACGACGGTTACGTCCGACGTTACCGAGATAAATTAATTGAATTTCGGTGACGGTTCTCTCCCACATTCATACGAAGAGAATTTCATAGTAAAAACGTTATTATAGAATTTCGTAGCCGAGGAACAGATCGACGTTTTGCAGCAATTAATTATTTCCTTACGTTTCATTTGCACTATTTATATTTTAGGAACTAAAGTGTGCTATTAAAAATTTGCTATATTTCTAGCAAAATTTACTATGTTAGAGATCTTTATATCCTATCTTTAGTCTATTCTTTTCTTATCCTATTCTTATTTTAATCTTTTTTATTGTTTGAAATATAAATAATGTATTTTTTTCTTACCAATTCTGACAATTGCGAGGCAACAAAATATTTAATAAGATCTACATCAAGATTTGCTATGTTTTTAGCAAAATCATGTTTCTTAGCAAGACAAACTTAATTGGCAATCTATTCCTAGACTGTTCCTAGATAGTCTATAGTTTAAAAAACGTAGCAAAATTCAAAAGATTTTATAAAAAAAGAAAACTGATATTCTTTCTCTGTATACTCATACAGATCAGAAATTGCAACTTGACAGAATTCCGACGAATTTCGACACGTGCAAATTATTTCCATTTTCGCTTATATCGACACTCAATCATCCCTGAGTAATTTGAAACTCTAATTTAAACGAAAACCGAGAAAAAATTGAAAGAATTTGAAAGAAAGAAAGAATTGAAAGAAATGAGTTTTATGCAAAATATTTTCAACGTCTAAGTTTACACATCTCGCCATCTTTCTCTCTTTCTCTTTCTCTCATAATTAATTTTTTAATTTTATAAAACTTTAGTGATATTGAAATCCTATCAATTAAACGCGTAATTACTTACACGAATTTTACCAATAAAGTTATATTAATAGCTCTTGCGCGATGTCTAATAGCAGCCGACATTAATGTATCTCCGTTCGGCGATCCAAAGCGACAGACACTCATTGCCGTTACGCAAGACATCATGAATTTAAGTGTCTGCCGTCGATGACTTCGGTCGCGAATGCGCGGCATTTGTATATACGCGGCGGGCGTACGCGCAATAAGTGTCTCCATACACGCTGCACTCAGAGCCGACCGCATAAACGCCGTTATAAGTGCATTACGAGGCCCATCACTGTAATAAATGCACTCACGACATCCAGTACTTTGCCGTGGCGCGCGAGCCCGACGCGGCGCAATTGCGAAAATGACCTCGCAGTAGTAGTGAGGGCGTCTGCCGCGCGCGCAATGAAATTAATATATTTATATTTGCAGCAGGCACCCCTGCTGTGTTTTTGAAAATAACAGGGTTAGAGACGGTAATCTGGTTGCCGCCGCCGCCGTCGCCGCATGAGGACCGGCGGAGCGAGGCTTTGAGCGAAATTAAATGTAGACTGTACGTTACATCTTGCGTTTACGCAATAACCTTTACGTACTTTTTCTCTCTTTTTTTTTTTCTTTTTTTCCTCATTCTACCGACGAGTGGCGGAAATATGGTATATGCGACGCGGACGTGCGAAACTTTTTGCGCACACCGCGCCGCAATCTGGAACAGTCGGATTTTTTCGTTCACTCGATTACGAGACACAGGTGTTAAACTAGAAGATACGCGACTGTGTCGCTATCGGTATACCGGTAAAGAAATTACGTGTATAACGTTAGAAAAACTGTTTTCACGTACTTACTAAGCGCAAGACGGCAAGTCAGAAAATCAATCAATTAGGAAGATTGAATCCATACGATCCATACATTAAGTCAGACTTAAGGAAGATTACAGATCGTAGATCTTGCAGATTCTCCCGACACGATTCTATAACACAAAAAGGAAAAGAGGATATTAAAATTTGCGTGAACATTCCGCTTCAGAAATCCTTTACGGAAATTCTACGCGATATATCGAAGTCTTAACATGTCGCAAATGTTGAAAATCAAATATTCGGAACAAATAACACGCGTGGTCCCTCGTGAAGCCAAAAAGGAACGTAATCAAAAGATGGAACGTAATTTTTTTTCCAAAATTGTAGAAAAGATATTTATGACGACGAATAGCATGATCCGGTTTTGCACGGCGTTCGGATATTTCTTCTGCCTCAACCGAGTTACTGATATTTTCCAAATCAACTGTTTCAGGTGCTGCATCATGGCACGACTTTGGTGCACTGGGACTGCGAGGGCGGCACCTCGAGGACGGCGTTGGTGTTCGCGCGCGTTGATCGTGCCTGCGGCACCTTCATATGGGAAAAGCCGACCTGGAGTCCCATGAAAACGGCGCATTCCGGCGCATTCGGCGGTTCCGCTCTCACGGATTTTTCGTTGAGTGTGAAGCCGGAGGACACGATGCCAGCGGGCCTAATCAGCAGGTACACGCAACTGCAGGCTGACTGCGCCTCCGTCACCTTGGAGGAAGGATACCTGGACCTGGGATCGGTGAAGGAGATAACGATTGGCTGCTGCGACCGCGACCGAGAGGCCGATCTCAGGAGCATCTGCAAGAGATACGGCCTACCCGGCTCCGACTCCTGTATCGGCCTCATGTATGGATCCAGCCTGCCGGACAATCGACTGATCTTCCTACTCTGCCCTCCTGCTCTTAACAAGTATGTAAAAATTCTCTCGATCGATACGTACAGTACATAAGAGATCTCACTCTTAACGGAGGTCTCTTATATGGCCTCGAGAAGATTCTTTTAAAACCCTAGGAGGAAAATATTATATATTTGCCACAGGCAAATTAACCACATTTTTTTCTGGTCTAATTCCTCGAAGAGTATTAATTCAGAAATGAAAATAAATCCGCGGCGTTTTGTAATTACACTTTTTGCACGGAAAAAAACCCCTCAGACACATATTCGAATTAGAGATTACCTCGCGAGTATCTTCCGATTTAAAACTTGACTATATTCCATGTTTTTTTGAGTCCAAATCCGCACCCGAGGGAGCCGAATAGCAATTCGCAAATCGAAACCTCGATACTCGCGGTGCATCAATTATATGTTAATGTTGTATTATCGAAAGGTATATAGTTAAAGTTATTATTAATGGTATTAAAGGTATATGGTATTATACTAATGCTATTAATAATTACGCGCTACACCCCGCGTCGCTAACAATGAAATTATCGTTAAAATACGCAAACAGCGAGTCACGCAAGCTAGTTATGTAACTCGCGCATTGCTCCGCTTGCAGAATATGGTATATGGGATTGTGTTGGATACTGCGAGGCCTCAAACGACAGCAACAGCTAACGGATCGTAGATCACGCTGGTTGAAGGACAAGTATCTTCAGTTGTACTTCGAGGAGAACGGCTCGAGCCCGATCACGGCCGACGCTATACGCATTTTCGGCGGTCGCGACTGGTCGGCTCTGACGGAAAGCGCCGGCACGCTCTCGCCGACGAGCGGTAGCACTTCGCGCAGACGAAACGTCAAAGGCAAGAAGACCAAATCGATCGGCAACATCCACGGCTTGACCAAGGTTCGCACACACACACAGACCCGTCTCGAGTTCTCTTCAACACACGGGGAAATAAGTTTGGCCGAATTGCTATGACCACGTACGAAGCAAACGCGCTTTGGTCGAAGGGGACGGAACCTTTGCGATGTTTATGAATCAGATCCGGTTCTGAAATACTATCTCCTCTCCGACCAAAACACGTTCGTTTACAGTCACGTTGGTTCAATCGATCCTTTTCCTCCATGTATTAAATGCAAATCGAAGTGGGACAATTTCCGTGGGAATACATGTCTCTGCTTAATCTTCGCGCGCGCAGATGACGCGTTCGTCGTATTGAACGATCTCGCTTTTAACGTAGGACCTCAGTCAGAAACAGTACGACTCTTCGGACGGTCTATCGACTCTGCGTCACATCGCGGGTAGCAGAGAGTCCCTCACAAGGGTCATACCGGCGTCACCGCGAGCGAGCAGAGACCGAATTCCACCCCGTAGCCCGCCCGGTTCGGCTGAGCGTGTTGTCTCTTCCAATCTGCCTTACTCCACTTTTCAAAGGTACATTACCTACACACTCTCGAGGCCGAGGGAAATCTCAGGAAAAAAGAGATTCACTCGAATCCCGATAGATGAAATTGCACGGAGTGTCACATGATTATGAATCTAAATTCAGATTCGAATAATTGACTACTTTCAACAGAGAAAGCTGCTTTTCAACTGTTGTAAAACTGCTGCAAAATTCGTTTTACTGTTGTAAAATTCGTGAATCTGATTCGTATATGTTCTTAGATTCAGCCAAGATTGAGAACACTCAAATTCACGAATTTTACAACAGTTACGAAACAGCTTTTTCTATTGAAAGCAGCCAATTACTTCAATCCTTTTTCTCGCACACCTCACAGTAAAGCGTGCGTAGTTTGTTATGTGTTGCCAGAGAAAAGGACAAGAACGGAGCGACTGGTATAGTATCGGGAGCGGAGGCTCCTTGGCAGATGAAAGCGCAACACACTTCGATCATGTACGAGACACAATTGAGCTTCGTGGAGTTCGTGGCGCTTTTCCGCTCATTCAGCTTACGGGCCCGGAAAGATTTGAAGGAGTTGTTCAGCCAGTTAGCGATTACGTGTCGCAGTCAGAGCGACGGCTCATTGAGGGATTTTAGCATGCGACCAGCGGTGCTCAGGCAGGCCAGCGACGCCACTCCGCAGAGAATCGGTAAGTGAACGCGAGCTGAATCAATATAATTTCGCTGCATTTAAATTCTGACGCTATACACGCAGAAAAGTCCCACTACTAAGAAAAGCGATCACTCAATTTACTTTCCTTCTCTTAAGTAATAGTTAGCTTCAGCACAGAATATTTTATCAATGATGCTCTCAAAATATACTCAACAAATTTAAGAAAAGTTCATTATCATATACACAAAACAAGAATCTATTTTGTGTACAAGAATATTATAACTCTATCGAAGGAAAGATGACTCTATCTAGTAAACAAGTTTTTTGTTTTAATTTATATCATACTTTTTGTTTTAATTTATATCATACTTTGTTGAAATGCTAAACTTACTAGAACTTAGAATTATTTTGAATAAATTTGATACTCATGATGAACTCTTATGATAGATTTGCGGATGTATAAACTTAAGAAATGCTTGAAACAAGTAACGTTTACTTGAACGCAGTATATTCTGCGTAGACGCGCAGGATAATTTCACGTTCTTTAATTTCGAGAATTCTTCGCGTCTTTCTACGTCGTATCTACGATATTGAAAAAATTGAGTTTTTTTTCATTTCACCGGAATTACATCGATTTAAATTCTTACAAGTGGCAGCGTTGCAAATATTATTTAATCAACGTTTGAATATGCCAGGTTTGTTGACAAGGAACAACTCCATTGACTCTAACGAATACAAGACGAACGTGAATCTGCAGAAGAAGCAGATCTTCGACGCTGTGGCGGCATCGAGCATAGTCGATAACTGCTCCGGCGTCGAGACATCGAAATCCCAAGTGATCACCTTGGCGACATTCACGAAATTCTTGGAGTCCCGGCAGCAAGAGAAACTAAACGACGACAACATCAAGGCGTTGATCAAGGTAAATTTTATTGGGTTAGAATTATAAAAACTCATATAGCACAAAAATATTACACCAACATTAGATTGTAGACGGTTTTAATTGCGTCGCTAAAGATGATAAAGGTGTTATCACAATCTTAAAATGTTACTTTCCGGGACTTTTATAATAAATCTTAAGTCCAAATATTAATACAATTCTTGGTTAATTCAAGATCACCTTGTGGTTAAATTAATATCATTTCAAAGTCGATCAGAATATAATTGCTTCATCATTTAAAGCTAACGTTTTAATAATATTAACGTCTTACTCTCCTATAGAGAGAATTACTACTGCATTGTATTCTCACTGCAAAACAGAATTAATTTACTGAGACATCATAGCAACATTTTAGTAATAATAACATTGACTTTTGCGCTATGTGGGAAGAAGACATCCAAGTATTTCGACCATCTCGTCGAGATTTTTTGCTCGCGCGAGATTAATATTCCATATCACCAACTGAATGGGTACGATTAATGTGTTTGCGCTAAATTGCGCAAGCGTTCTCGTTGAAAGACGACGAACAATCTAACCTTTCGACTCCAGCGAACTTCGTCGCTCTCGGAACAATCATGATTTCAATTTGCCTTCGCCAGGAGACTGAGTGCCGTCCAACTTCCTCGCTCGTGTGACCGTCGCATCACAATACGCACGCGACCATATGCGACGTAATACAATCAAGCGAGCCTGTTTACTCTCATTTCAGAGGCACGAACCGGACCCGGCGCTTCGCACACAGTGGTGTTTGTCTTTCGAGGGTTTTGCGCGGTATATGATGGACAAGGACAATTATGCCTTTCCGAACGAATACGCGACACCATCCGAGGCTGAGATGCAGCAGCCGCTGTCGCAATATTACATCGCCAGCTCGCACAATACTTATTTGACCGGGCATCAGCTCAAAGGGGAATCATCCGTGCAATTATATTCACAGGTGGGTAATAACTATTACAGACGGATTCTCGTGCGAAGGATGAACTTTCACAAAACTAAAAAGTACGTGGAAGATATTCTCGATTCTCACGAAAGGATATTATTATAAAAAAATATAATCTCATTCTTAACGGAATTCTTTGAAAATTTTACTCTTATATATGTTCTTAAGAGAATTCACTTAAAACCAAAACAGAAATATTCTAAGCACAATGTACTTCAAGATAGAAGAATTTCGTTTTTATCAACAATACGTTTGGCTACTCTTAATAAAAGTTTTCTCTAGTAACAGGACAACCTACTTCAAGTAAATATATTCCTTTTGATTCGAAAGAGTTAGAATAAATAAAAAAGTTAGAATGGCAACTTTTCGACTAAATAGTCCATTTCTTTAGAAGAAAAATATTCTTTAAATAAAAGTTTTCGTTTAGAATATGCAATTACAGAAAATAGCACCTTGTCGCTAGAATCCTCTTCTTGGGTAATTATAATCCTGTCATTGTTAATTAATCACGCGCATTATTTGATAATTATACGTACTATCTGAGAGAAAAATTAATTAATAAAAATTTCCTCCGAATATTTTTATAGAAATTAATATAAAATTAAAATGTTACATTAATTCAAAGATCGGATACTTTTCTTTGCATTAAGATGGAAATTTTGATTTCACAAAATGAAGTGCCTTTCAAAACGAGTAACCCGAATTTCTGGCCAAACAAGTCATAATTAAAGCAGGGATAAGTATCAATAGCTCTGAAGAAGGAAAAATATTTCTAGGTTCTCTTAACGGGATGTCGCTGCGTGGAGCTCGATTGTTGGGACGGTGACGACGGATCTCCATTGATTTATCACGGTCACACATTCACCACCAAGATACCGTTCCGATCGGTCGTAGAAGCGATCGATCGAAGCGCGTTCGTCAGCTCCCCCTACCCCGTGATCCTTTCCATCGAAAATCACTGCTCGCCGAATCAGCAAGCTCGCATGGCCCAAATATTTCAGGTATATTAATTACTCAATAAATTACTCCTGCCATTAATTATCGTCACACGTAAGTGGCTCGAGTTACGGCCGAGGAATCCGTCGTTTCAGTCCGTTTTCGGCGAGAAATTGGTGACGAAGTTCCTCTTCGAGACCGACTTTAGCGACGACCCGCAGCTACCGTCGCCTTCGCAGCTCCGTTACCGTATCCTGATCAAGAACAAGAAGCTGGTGGTCGACCCTACCGGACCCTTGTCGCACACGCCCCTCAGTCACCGCGGGAAGATGCTGATGTCGGATCGCGCGTCCTCGATGAAGCAGATGCGGACCGACGTGAGCAGCACGTCGGTCGTCGAGTACTTCAGCGAGGATGACGACGACGAAGAGGATGACGACGAGGACGACAATATCGACGGTAAATACGACGCATCCGTTCGCGCTGTCGAGAGAGTCGCGCCGGAGAAACTTTCCCCAACGATATCGAAACTCGCGTTCTCTTAATCTTCTCTGAGCTCAGGTTTAACCTAAATACGCCGATACGCGTGCTGCATCGTGCACCTCTGCGTTATATCGTGCAGGCCTCTATTACCGTGCTCCACTTAATTGCTCCGTTCATATCTGAGTTTACCACGAGCGAGCGTAAATCCCCGGCACGATCGCGTTCGAGAAAAATATCGTAATTGCGGTGATTAAAAATTTAACGAAGCGATATAGTGGGATATTAAGCGAGACCGCACAATTTTACAGATAACTCGATCTCGAGTTACGAGAGATACCTGGGCAGCAGCCAAGTACCGCAAAGCCGCTTTAAATCGGACCCGGCGGTGGATGACAAATCGCAGAAGCAAAGCAGTCAGATAGCCAAGGAGCTGTCGGACCTGGTGATCTATCTACAGGCGATTAAATTCCGCGGATTGAACACCACGCCCGGCACGGCGGTGCCGGGGAAGACCAGGTGCCACCAGTCGCACACGGGACCGGTCCAGAGACACAGCATCGCCGGTATAGGAACCAGCAGTATAGCTTCCTCCTCGGGATCGCCACAGTCGCTCTCGACGTCCGCCTCGATCGCGAGCGGCGGCAGCAATATAGAAAATCTCTTCAGGTTGGTCTCTTGCCATAAATGTGAGCTGACGATGCGAAACAATGCTGGAAACATATTTAAATGTCTTATATTTAGTACAAATGTATGCAGTGGAATTTTATCGTGCTCGTTCTTAACGTTACGAATTGTCTCCTTTTCATTTTTCTCTTTTCATAATTTTATGTTAGTATTACTTGTTTGAATTATTTCTTATTCTAATCAAAATAATTTTATTACGTCATCTTGTATTTTTTTGCTTTAATCGTATTCGTAATGCTACTTGAACACAAAAAATCTAAAGATTTATTTTCCTTGTCGCCAGATCTACTCGCGGAGTGCCAGCCTGCTTCCAATGTTCGTCTCTGAACGAGAGCACGGCGAAGAAGATTTGCAGGAAGCAGCCGCTAGGAGTAGTCGCCCATGCGGAAACCCAACTTATTCGAACTTACCCCGCAGGAATGCGCATCGACTCCACAAATTTCAATCCTGTCATATTCTGGGCCTTCGGGATTCAAATGGTCGCGTTGAATTATCAGACCGATGACACGGGATTGAATCTGAATGCAGCCATGTTCGAGCAAAATGGCCAATGCGGATACGTTAGGAAACCTTCGGTGATGTGGGACAAAGGACACATGATGTACAGGTGAGCTCATTTCACCTTACTATCAAGATACAATCTCTTACTGATCAAGATTATGATTTCCCAATCATGTCAGGATGATTATGTACTTAACGATTGAGCTACAAGTATATTGCAGTTTTTGTGCGTTCATCATAGAAAATTGCCGATCAATTTATCACGAATCTCAATACACCTAAATTTCTAAAGATCAAAATTTTAGACATTATATATAAAATATTAATAAAATTAATATTTTTCATATCTACTTATTTCAATTAAGATTATATATCTATTTATTAAATTTTCATAATTAATTGTATATATATTTTTTTTTATTAGATTTTCCTGGAAATATGGCATTTAATAATTTTGAAAAATTCTCAAATGATCTTGGATTTTCTTTGTTGTTTAATAAAAAGAAACTAAGATTTTAATGTATACAAGAAATTGAGAAGCGTATCTTTATGCTAACGCACAGTTTTCCACTGCAGTACACGTGTACGCGTTGCAAGAAATCGATTATTTGGTAAATTATAATTAGCGACTCTGTCATAAATGCATTCTCCTCGAACAATCACAAATACATGTTGACAGGCGGTTTAACCCATGGGACAAAGAGTTCGACGGGCTGCACTCGGCACACTTGAGTCTGTCAATAGTCTCGGGACAATATGTCTCATCGACCAACTTCCTCACCAGTACGTATGTCGAGGTCGAACTGGTTGGTATACCGATCGACTGCGCGAAACACAAAACAAAAGTAATACAGAACAACGCGGTGAATCCAATCTGGAACGAGAAGTTTTGCTTCCAAGTGATGTTCAAAGACCTTGCCTTCCTGCGCTTCGGCGTGGTCGAGGCGAGCTCGCATCATCTGATCGCGCAGCGCGTGATACCGCTCAAATGTCTACGACCTGGTTACCGACACGTGCGACTACGCTCTTGCAAGAACAAACCACTGGCTCTGTCCACGCTGTTCATCTATTCGCGAATGGAGGAAGAGAGCCTGGACTACAACACCTGCTGCCGCGATCACAAGGAGTCGTCGAAGCGTCTCTCGTCGGGCAAAGAGCCCGACAAACTCAGCACCGTCGATTCCGGTCTGAGTGGTGTCACTTTGAAGAGACGAATGTTCTTCTTAATGGTCTACCACGTGATTCCGGAGGAGCCTTACACCATCCTCAAAGTAACTCAAGAGAGCACCACGCAAGAGGTGATGCTGCAGGCGTTGCAAAAGGCAGGAATATCGCCTAACCACGTGGACGATTATATTTTGGTGGAAGAGGTGTTCCGCGGCTGGGAGAAGAGAGACAGGGAGGAACTACCGACTCAACGCATGTTGGACCTTACGGAGCATCCGCTTCAGGCGCAGGCCCAGTGGAAAGGCCAAGGTCGTTTCCTTCTGAAACGAGTAGGTACCGACCCGAGCAGCAGAGCGTGGTTGGCCTCCATCAGAAGCACGGCCGGTCATTCGAAGTTCAACGACTCAAATTCAAGGGACCAACCCACTCACATATGGGACGAGGCGGACACCTTCCTCGTTTGCATCTATAACGTGTCACCCGAGATCCCTTACGCAATTTTACGAGTGCCAGTGAGCGCCTCAGCACAAGACGTGCTGGCGCAAGCTCTAGTGAAGGCTCGGAGAATGGAGGACCCAATGAAATTCGCCCTGGTCGAGGAACTGGAGTGGGGAGGCGCGGGTGCCGTAGGCAGTGGAAATCGTCAGATGAGGGTGTTACGCGATGACGAGAACGTTTACAGTACGCAGGCGTTCTGGAAGACTCTCGGCAGGTTCATCTTGAGAGAACGAGAACAGGCCATCCCGAGGATGCGACACCTCCTGCCCGCGACTCTCGACAGACTCAGCAAGGGATTCTCCGTGGGCAGATCGGTGTCACTGCCGGGATCCAGCAAGGAAAAGGTGCCGGTTTCGGGAGTACTGTCCGACCCGACATCGAGAGGTTTGAGATACCGACTACCAGGACGATGGCAGATGTCGGGACGCAGACACCGCGAGGTTCACTCCGACGGCGAAGACACTCGCGAGTCCGACATACTGAACGCCGCTCTACACCTGAAGAAAGTGTCGTTAAGGAAACTGTCAGTTTGGAAGTCATAGTGGCAGTCAAGGGCGACGTCGATATCATCGATCTTCGCCGCTCGGAGAAGCCAATTGTAAGCACTGTAGTCCAGTTATTCGGTCAGAATCTAGTCCTGATGAATCTAGTCTTGCTCTTGTAAAAACGACTCTATACCGATCCTGTCGAGTTGCAGTCTCGGGTATGATTTGGGTAGGGAAGTCAAGAGATATCGCGCCGCATCACAACGTTCGAAAAAGTTGCATAATCAGTAGGTCTTTTGAAACAAGAAATACCTCGACTATCGACGAGACACGATTGGTATAGTCCACGATTACCAAAGAAATACTAGACCGAGCGCTTTTGTATCATCGAGACTACGCGACGACATTGAACGTGAGCGAATATGATCTCCGGAATATAGCAGACGAGTAGTTTCTTCAGGGATCAGGGAGATCCTTCGGAAGACATCAATATCCGAGAATAACATTGAAACTCGATTACGATCAGCCGCGCGATACTCTAGCAAAAGCCAGCTTCGGGCATAGTCACCAAAGTTGCCGTAGAGTCAACGTCAGCAGGCTAAAAGCTTCCAGCAAGAAAGACGGGAAAGACACCGCGATGAAGACCATCACCGCTAAAATCGTTTTCAGGAATTTTTTAAAGGTCTCAATACGTAGCATGTCTGTCCTGCAGCAGCTGGTAACGATCGCACAATCATTAAGTGGCAAAGTGACGATTCTTCAGTCCCCTTAATTTCGTCGAACCGGCACGACCGTCATCGTAGAATGTCAAACGGGAGTTCATTTCACGTAGCGTGGCAATAAATTCATGGCAGACCGGCTGCTTGTCTGATCGGCGCGCTGGCGCGTCGGAAAAAAGTTAGTGCCACGTCGCGGCTGATTTTATTATTTTTGTACAACGAATAACAATCGCAGGTGGATCGCGGCCGCGAGAGAGCGAGCCCGCGATCCATCTCCGACGGGCGATCGCTCGTGATCTCTAAAGAAGAAACTTTGCCAAAACGACATTCTAATAAGTGATCTAAGATCAGCGACGTTCGCGTGTAGACGTATTTATCGGAAGTGCTTCCCGTAAGAGCGTATTTCCGTTCGAAAAACGTCGGAACAAGCCGTCTACCCGCTCGACACCGTGTATCCGGAGGAATTCGCAGCTTCACGCGATTTCCCATCTCTGTAAAGGCAAAAATACCAATTCTCGGACATGTATCTAATTCTGAGCGTTCTGGTCACTTCAATTGTTTTTAAACGCAAATATTTAAACTCTCAACACAAAATACATGTATATACTCAATATGCACGGAGAGAATTTTATAGTAAAAATTATTATAAAAGTTTGTAGCCAAGCAACAGATCGACATTTTGTCGTAATTGACTATCCTTTCAACTTATTTATGCTACTTATGTATTTTAAAAATTGACATATATATTATCTAAAAAATTGGCTATAGTTCTAGCGAAATTTAACATACTTTATCTGGCTAGAAGAACGACTCTGAGACTCAACTAAAAAAGTTTCCTGAAGAAGTGAACCGGAATGTTCACGGAACGTCGAAAACAAATCCAGAATGCTTGGCGCGTTAACACAAGAATATAATTCTTATTTTCTTGCATACATTAAAATCTTTATTTTCTTCTTATTAAATGACAAAAAAGATCCAAGATTATTCAAGAATTTCTCAAGATTATTCAATATTATATTTCTAAAAATTTTTTTTAAATAGATATATAATATTAACTATTAAAAAAAAGATTCAGTACCAAACAGGAAGCTAGACTAAACATTTCAAATTGGTCAGATAAAATATCATTAAAATATCCTTCTGGTCGAAGAGAATACTTTTTCTCAAATTTACTATGTTCCTTAGCAAGGTACCTTACTGACAGTCTATTCCTACACTGCTAAAGACACAGTATAATTGAAAAGAATTTATGTGAAAGAAAACTATAATATTCTGTCTCTCTCTCTCTTCGTGTATATACATATACTAGACGCGAAAAGTTTGATTATTTGTATTCAAAGACTAAGACAATAAGAAAGTCCAGGATTAAATAGGGGTCCAGGCATTGGTACTCTTACCTCATTTCTCTATCATTTGCGCCCAATGTCGTCTTTATCATTTCTTCAACGTCGTACCTGAAGTTTTACATTGATACGAGTTAGGCTTTCGCGCGAAAGCCTTGCGACAAAGTTATATATCGCTGTTATCGTTCTCCACTTCGTTCACACTCTACTCAACGTTAACGAACGATCGTTTTCTGTTTCTTCGTCTGATCGATCATGTGATAAAGGAACTCGAGTAGAATCCGACGAGGGAACGTCGTAAAGTATATTCGGCAGTTGCTAACGTAAAGACCATATTTACTATATATTGTTAACGCTAGAGGGTAGATCGATGTTGCATTCTCGATTACCGTCCCTCTCTCCTAACTGTTTTAGCGAACGTATATACATATAATATATATATATACATATATTATATATAACGTAGATTGTAAATACGAGACCAAGGGGTGTCGGATGGAGAAATTCGCGTTCGAGTGTGTGCTATGCTATAATCGCGCTGTTCAATTATTTTTTCACGCGAGAAAGAACGCGGACGCGCCTCTCGTGCTCGACGAGCGTCCGAAGCCGGCAGCCTAATTTTTCCGAAGCTAATTTCGCTATTTTTAACGTTAATTAAATAACGACAAACAAGTAACGGAATCACACGTCGCACGCCAGTGAGGTCGCGAATAGCCTTGCCCCGTCTTCCACGTGAGTCGTTTTAGGTATATTTTATATATTTTCGAAACGCCCCCAACGCCCTCGCTGACTGATTTTTTAGAAGCTGTGTACACGATCGATCGACACGAAAACGCCGGGACCCTTTAATGCCCCCAAAACCGGAAAGATCTATCCGACACGCGAATATCATATCCCACCCCCTAAGATGCTTCGCGACGTCACTGGGGGGGACTCTGTATATTTTTGGATACTACTTCCTTCGCGCTGGTGTTTCACACCCCTCGTCTCTCCGCAAATTACATAATCACATATCTCCACGAGAGACCAATGAAAACAAACATGCAGACGGAAATAAAAGAGATAAGGGCCGGACACACACGCAGGCCAACTATATTTATACGCATATCCCTAAGAATAGTGTGAGGAAGAGGGAGATGAAGAGGCACAGAAGAGAAAAGAAGCAAAAGAAATGTCGTTCGATAAAAAAAAATTTCCGTAGAGATCGACACGCAAACCTGAGCGCCGTATCTGCTAACGATAAGAACGCGATCGAAAATTGGCATTAGTAGCAGTCCCGCGATGTCGAATCACCGAGAACACACAAGAACATACGAGATAACATACGGGGCCGAACGTGTTTGCAATTCATGTGTTTGCAATCTCGAGTCGTAATCATCGTACCGTAAGTCATCCTCGCAGATAAAGCGCAGATCGAGCTATCCAACGCTAATTTGATCTGACGATCGCCGTATCTACTAGCGCAATGGACAATACTGCGAGCGTCATAAAGTGCGACCACATACGCGTGTCGCATCCTAGAAAATGCATCACTCGCTGCCCACTCGATAAACCCTCGAAATATTTCTACATTTATTAAGGAGAAAGAGGGAAATGTCAGGATGCCTCTCGATTAGCGCGCATACCTCGCCATTACACAATCTCTCTTCTCTTCTTCTTACACGATCTATCTTTTCTCTTTTTGTTCTCGAAAGATGCTCGCATTCACGGGAGCCTAAGAATACATTAGAGTCCCGTTTTAATGGGTTAATGTGTAAATCAATTCGACCGTCTTGTTTACGAGCGAACGGCCGCGATGCAAATTGAAATTCCCCGAGCGTCGACGACAGAAGAACCGAGTTCGCGAGTTGCGAACTCGGCGAGTACAACACAAGTATATGTATATGTGTTTATATATATACATATATATATACATGTATTTTGCGCAGTAAAAAGCAGCAATTAGAAACCAGAGCAAACTGTATCCCAGTAAATACGCCGTAGCAGTATTTCTTTTATATATATGTAAAGACAAAGAGAGAGAGAGAGAGAGAGAAAGGAAGAAAGTGCACACAGAAAAATGCATACTGCATCCAAGTAAGTGTTACTTGTTTCAAGTATTCCGTAAGTTTATATACCTCCAAATCTATCATAATTTATTATTTTATTTATCACATTTGTATTAAATCTATAAATTTTTATTCCAAATATATTCCAAATCTAACATTTTAATGAAGAATGTTAAATTCGATTTGCTTATAACATTGTATCGAGTCAACTTTCGATATTTTTGTAAAGAGTATAATTCTTTCGAGTATTGACACGATAATTGACTTTTCTCAAGTTTGTGATGAGTATATTCTCAATCTTACCTATTGAATCAAGAAAATATTCTTTGTTGAAGCTAACCCGTTACTTGAAAGAGGGGAAGTAAACTGAACGATCGCATTTCTTGGCAGTGGAATGATATTTTTCTGCGCGCAGCGTCTTGCGGAGAATGTCATGTACATAGGCAGTAACGAACAATGGCTACTAATAACGATAATTAATTACTGTAATTAATATTCGACGCTCCTTGGACCTCCGGCTAAACCCCCCGCATCGTGAGAATCATCGATTATACGAACGGACGAGGGTCTTATCGGGCGTTACTTTTCGGTTGCAACCGGTGACCGTTCGTCGTCGTGCCGCCGCAGAACGTTGCAACGAGCTGGTGTGAGATTGATAAATTCGCGTCCGGAAAGCGTGGACGCCTCGTCGAAGATCTGGGTCGCCCGCGGAACCAATTAAAATCGCTAGTTTCCCTGGTTACTGCGATTCGATCCTGTCGCGATGCACGCTAATTAATTAATCAATCGTATTTTTATTTCTTCACATGAGAATCAAATTAACACATATGTAACGTAAATACAATACATCATTAAATCGCGTGTATCAACGTTGTCTCGTAGCAGAAATATCGCGGAGTAAATTTACGGTAACGATGAGATATCTTACGTCAGAGATAATCATGTAATTGTATCGTCGACTACATTGCCGCCATCGGCATAGTAGCGTCGAATTAATTACTTCAGCTTCGTGCTTTACTTTGACAATTTGTTCGGGAAGAAGCGATGTATATTATTTGACGTTTAAATCAATACGCGCGAGACTCGTTTTGTTCTACGATGTGAAGCGCGACAAATGATAGAATTTTACCGTCAAAGCCGACCGCGAAGATTGCATTTCCCCGACGAATAAAACGTGTCCCACGGTACTCCTCGCATTGTGTTGCATTGGGAGAAGATTACTTGGAGATTTGTTTAAAGTGATTATATATCATATCACATATAATATCATGTAGTTCGTACGAGGTTTATTCACAGAAATAAACTTTATATCCCACAAATGAATCTTTCAGTATTTTTTCTCAGTGTAACAAATACAAAATCGTCGAGAACGTACAACACACGCGTCCCTTCCTACCGAAGTTCTCCCCGGAAATTCGACAACGTCCACGCTCGGCGGACCGACTTTCTTCCCTTCCCTCTTCGTGGCCGAAGAGCTCGTTGGACGCATCTGGAGGGTGACTGTACCGCGTAATGAGCGGGACGCGCGCGCGCGCACGAAACGACTACTTCTTAATATTTTTGGGACCACTCTGATTAAGGATTCTATCGAGCGAGCTCCCACGAGGAGCCGAATCTACGTAAACGATGCAGTATTAAGGCTCCTTCTTCCTCTCCTCTCCGTCGGTCGCGAACGGCACGGACGAAGGAAAGGGAGAGGGAGGCGACGGAGAAGCGCGGAGAGACCGACAGGAGCACGACAGAGATCGAACGATGAACTGTCCTCGAGGAGGTCGTGCGAGAAGCCAAAAAGAAATGAAAGGAAGAAAAAGAAAATGCTTAAACGCGCCGGGCATATCCCTAACTGTACATATCCGTGATTCTTCGGTAGCTGTTACGTTAATTACGAGAAACGCGCGCGTATATATAATATATATATATATATATATATATATATAAATATATAAATATATAATTGTGCGCACACATACATACACGCATACGTGTTACTCTCGTAGAAGAGGCCGTCGAGCCGATACGTTGCATTTTTGTACGGGGCGTGTTTCGAAGCCAAAGAAGAAAAACAAAAGAAATAAATCTAAACAAACTATCTTCGATTGAGAAAAAGGGAAAGAGAGAGAGAGAGAGAGAAAGAGCGCGCGCGAGAGAGAGGAAAAAAGAGAGAAAGGGGGAGAGGAGAAGTATGATACAAGTTAGTAGACGACGAGACGAAACGATTGAAAGAGCAAAAGGAGATGAAGGAGGTGAGAAAAAAGGGAAAGGAGGAAAATAAATTAATTAAACGCGTTCCCGCCGCGCGCGGTCGGGCTGGCCCGATTACCTCGCCGGTGCGTGGATCCTCTTTAATCGAACTATAATACGATACGTCTCTCTTTTTTCATAAGTGTAAAACTTTATCATATACGTAACGCGTTTATCTTGTAAGCGGTTGCTGCCCGCGTTTCTCGTCGACGGCTTTATTCCCCGGCTCATCGTCAATAAAATGTATAATCATTGTACGAGCGTGTTGGCAAAACAAAAAAAAAAGAATAAAAATAATAATTACGTAAATTGTATACGCGAGTTATAGCGGAACGACGTGCGGTAATTAGTCGAATCGCCGAAAGTTAAAGTGTCTGTCGAAAGGAATACCCTCGCGATCATCGGGGCTAGTTGTGCAATTGATGCGTTTTCTCACTTGCTTCCAGATCGATCGTCACCTCGCAATGATATTTCGCGCGTTACACACGATTGACTAAATCGCATTAAAGAAGAAAGAATGGAAGGGAAAAGACAGCACGAAAGGTGTTACGTAAGAAGAACATTTTGTTGTCGCTGGGGTATTTTCTTGGAATACTTGCTATTGATCTCGATTCGTTCGACTCCGAATAACAATATATAATTAATAATTTCAATTATTATAATAATTACAATAATTTCGTCCCTGGCGTCACTTTTCGTTCACTCACTAATTCATGATAATCAGAATCGTTGATGCCGTTCTTAATGAATAAACTTGGAACAAAAAGCTGTTATCTCATCGCAAGCAAAGCAAAACCCACCGTGAAACTTTCACCGACGCGATGCTTGAAGTGACAGAAATTTCTTTGTAAACTTTGTCATAGAACTGAATATTCTACGATTATTTTAAGGCGTCGCGATTGCGTAACGATTATGCTGCTTCACAAGAGAGCAACGCGAACGTAAAGGACCGAGGCAAAAGGCAAAAGCATAAAGAAAAAGAAAGAAACGAGATCATGTTACCGCTAAAAAAAAGCAGGAAAAACTATTCTCCTAGGTGCGCGTATGCAGTACGCCGTAGTATGACTTTTCGTCGCATTCGAACGACAATTATTGCAAAATAAAGAAAGGATTATACGAGTAGCAGCTAACGTTAAAATAGAGAATTCTCTTTGGCATTATTATATAAAATAAACACTCGAGTAGCCTCCGTTCTCGTGTTGTCGAAGAACAAAAAAGAGAAGCATGTAATATCCGTTAAACAAATAAAAAGAAGCATGCGATCGTCTTGCAACTCTTATAGCGAATTTACCATTACAATAATATATTAATACTATTGACATATTGTTGAGAAAAAGGATCTCCATGTAAATAAACATAAAGAGCATTTTTATAAATAATCGTCGTCATTATCGTGTTGTTATTAACCGAAACACCCCCTCCTCTATGCCGCTAAAAAAAGAACTAGCAAAGTTGATAATTTAACATAGAGAATCTTTAAAATAAGAGTGTCGTCAATTCGGGCACGTGATCTGATCACGCATTGAGGATTCCATGAACATCCATAACTTTGAAAAGGGATTCAAGTGACGGTAAAGAAGAAAGGGATAGTTAGTGAATAACGCTAAAAATTTTCCTAGTATAAGAACTTATCAAAGGAAAATAAAATAAAAATAAAATAAAAAAATAAAATGAAAATAAAATGAAAAACCACTGATTAGCACTATCCACTAACACCATTTCTCTTCTCAAAGCTATGGCATTCTCAGCGCGCAATCAGGTCACATAACCGAGTTGACAACCTTCTTATTAAAGGTTCTCTAATCTAATCTAACTAGAGTCGGTACTGTAAATTTCAAGATTATGTCTACATGCATTATTCACGCTATTATTTACGCGATGTATACGCAGTATACATCGTCTTTTTTCACAATGTAAACTACGTAGAATATTGTGAAGTATATTAAAATACATAGAAAAGAATAATTAAATTATAAAACAATTGCAGCAATTGCCTCATAGTTTATAATTACTCTTTTGTTTGTTTATTTAAAATATTATTAATTATAGATGTAACGTTTAAAAAATTGTAACAAATTGCATGAAATTTCCATTTACTATACTATGAAATTACCATTTTCTATTTGTAAAAAATACTGTAGGAAACAATGTTTATGAATTTACATGAGAATTCTAAAGGTTGAATAAAAATAAAAGTTTTTCTTAGTTAACTTTTGGGCAATCCATACGCTCTTTAAACGACATTCATAGATTATTTATTGTCTGCATGGATGACATCTCATACATAGTTTACGCTTTGTTTACCGTAGACGTAGAATGTGTCATAATTTCCGCGTGAGCCAACTCTGAACCTAACCCGATCTCTGAAATGACATCTCTGAAACTACATAGAATATTTTGCAAATTTTTTACTTTGATATTCATTGAATATTGATACTTTATCTAAATAATTATGCATACATCTTGTGTGTATCTGGTATCCATTCTCGATGAGATTACACTCTATACGTAAAAGAAAATAAATGTAGAAGATGCATATAACAACGGTATAATATCAGAGTTGTCCGCAACTTTAAGGCATTCTAATTTAGCCGACAAGAACCTTCAACAGTAGACACTACCGCCTCCTGACTGACAAGCTTGTATCTGTGCAAGTAAATAAATAACTGATCACTGCCTTATCATTGATAAAACAATTCGTTACTTATTTGCTTGCATATGTGTTATCAGTGCTGGAAAACATGATTTCACTCACCGTTTGGGCGCAGTTATCTCGACGTCGCTCTTTGCGTCAACTTGTCGTGCTAGGTCGTAAGAAACGTCGCAGCTTTCAGCAACGATGTCCGTAAGTATACTAACGAACGCCCATCAGCACACTTACGAAATTCATCGCGTATAAGAAGCGAGTTTTATTTAAACTAAGAGAATCCCTTACTCATCGTGCAATTAAATCACGAGGCGTACACGATTGTGCAATTGGTGAAATACGACTTGATTTGCCGCAATATTTAAATTTAATCTACCGGAATAGTACTAGAATATTTTGTTTGTTGAAAATATTCGAGAAGTAATGTTGTTTTGTAATTACAGCGATTATCATATACGTACAGGGGTCTTATTGTCCCAGTATTTACACCCTTCACTGAGAACAGGTAATACATTGATATTCATCAACTATAAAGAAATAATTAATATTAAATCAAATTATAATAATAATTAACTTAAATCAAATATTATAATCCATTTTAATTATTGTCCCAGTATTTATACCCTTCACTGAGAACAGGTAATAAATTGATATTTATCAACTATAAAGAAATAATTAATATTAAATCAAATTATAATAATAATTAACTTAGATCAAATATTATAATCCATTTTAATTATTGTCCCAGTATTTACACCTTTCACTGAGAACAGGTAATAAATTGATATTCATCAATTATAAAGAAATAATTAATATTAAATCAAATTATAATAATAATTAACTTAGATCAAATATTATAATCCATTTTAATTAGCTAAGAGACATATTGAAGAGATTAAATCTATTTAATAGGTCTCTTAACTTGGGCATTATACCTCGATATGGAAAATACTTGGCAGAAAAAGGAGTCAAAGGTATACTTGGTAAGCAACCTTCATTATTAATATTAATTCTAATTACATAAGTAATTATATAAGTAATTACATAAGTATTTCATAAGAGTAATGTTACAGGAATTTTATATATACATATATAGACGCATTAGGAATAATATATTATATATTAACATGTTTTTACAAATTTCTGCTAATTCATTGAATAATTATTATTTCAGATAAATTGAATAAAAAGCATTATTATGTTCACTTTAAAAATAAAATAATAACTTTGTTAAATATCTTCCTGTTGTAGTGAATGGTACCAGCGGTGAAGGAATGTTACTGTCTGTTAATGAAAGAAAACTTGTTACTGAAGCCTGGGTAAAAGTGGTGAAAGAAACAGGACAGCACTTGATGATTCAAGTAGGGGGTGCTCCTCTTCCTGATGTCATTGAACTTGTAAGTATAACATACATAGCTATGAGAAAACTATAATATGTAAAATTTGTTAATTAATATTTGTGAAGACTGTGGATGAAATAACAATGAAAATAATAATTTGCAGGCAAAACATGCAGAAAGTTTGCATGTAGATGCCATCCTCTGCTTACCCGAGTTGTATTTCAAGCCCAATACTCCTGGACAACTGGTTGAATACCTAGAAATAGTTGGACAGGCAGCACCAAACACACCCTTACTCTACTATCACATTCCTATGTTCTCTGATGTTAATAGTAAGTAGTCTTTCAACCTTTAATTAGTACATAAGAATTAATACAAAATATTGTATAGTACATATGGGACAATTCCTTGACTCAATTGGCAATAAAATACCCACTTTTGTGGGTATAAAATTCACTAGTGCCAATTTAGATGAGGGTGCACAAGCACTATATGCTGATAACAAAAAATATGTAATTTTCTTTGGTAATGATAAGGTAAGAATTAGCTGAAAATTATTTAGAAATAAAACTTTGTTTTCTTTAATTTTAATCTAAAGAAAATTTATTCTCATCTGCTTTATTCTAGATAATAAACGCCGCATGTGCGTTGGGAATGGATTCTTTTATAGCTACTAGCATAAATATATTTCCAGAACTTGTAATAAATCTTGTTGCTACTGGCAAGAATGAAAATACTTGGACAGCTAGAAAGATGCAAGAAAAACTTTCAGATGCTGTAATTGCTATATCAAAATACGGTAAATGCAATATCGTTTTTATACAAATTTCTGAGACAGAAAGTATTGCCATTAACATGATTATTTGTAGGTAATTGGGTGGAGTCTATGAAAACTGCAATGGTTCTTCTTACTAATATTAATGTTGGACCACCTCGCGAACCACTTAAATGCCTTCCATCCAATATTTTAGAAAACATGAAAACAGATTTAATAAAACTAGGGTATGAACCTACAATTAAATACAATTGAGGATATTAACAGTTTCCTAACTTGTATAGCTTGTATAATTTTGTTTTTTATTACAAATTAAAAAATATATGTTATATTGCATTTTTTTTCATTGAGTCAATCAACGTTAAAACAATAATAGAACTTTGATTTTAATTGCTTGTAGTAAGTGGAATTGACGTCATTTAAGTTGTAAGATCTCCAGCTATGCAGAGTCTTTTACTACTCTATTGTCAGTTTATCATTAAATAATTATAGACAAACCCTTATCCCTAAAAACAAACGAATGGTTTTAATTAATTGATACTTAATTGATACTTTTTATTCAAATATTCTTTGACATTTTGTATATTATATGATTGCGCTAACTAATCACGAAGTGTTTTAATATGGTGAAACTATATTGAAAAACGTTTCGTTCATATTCAAGTGTTTTCTTAAATACACTTCAATTTTTAAGATATATTTATTAAAAATATACTTGTGTGTGTGTGTGCAGCTAATAGTTTACAGGTAAGTGAAAATTCAAGTATGTACGAGAAACATTTGAAACATATGACAGTGTTCTCCTAATAAAATAAGTTATCGTGAAAACCGCATTTCCGTAAGATCACGCATTCTCGAGTAATAAGCCCCAAAATTTTGTTATATGACAGACAAGTGAGAATTCAAGTGTGCGTGAGAAAAATTTGGAATGTATGACAATATTTTTCTATCAAAATAAGTTATTGCCGTGGAAACCGCATTCCACAAATATTAAACGTTTAGCGCTACGCGTCATGAAAAATTTTACCGACCGTCGGTGATGTAGAAATTTTTATTGCCGGCAGTTAAAACTTTTTAGAATTCCACATATCTGTGTGGCGTAAAGGCCCTTGCACAATGCCAAACTATAGGTAATAAAAATAAGCATAGGGGTGCCGCACACGAATTGACATAACAGTAACGTAAGACGTACCGTAAAAATGGACTAATTACAATCGAGTATTTACAAAAATGGGGACCTTAGGGTTCGACGATATTCAAAATGATTGGTCAATTCTTACGGTACGTCTTACATTACTGTTATGTCAGTTCGTATGCGGCGCCCCTTATGAAGGATTCACACCGTGTCCGATGTTCGACGTACGACATCCGATATCCAATAAGAGAACAGCTTTTTATTAGAGAATTCAATTCTCCATTAGAAAGCTGTTCTCCTATTGGATATCGTACGTTGGATATCGGACGCGGTGTGAATCCTCCATTAGGACCTTCACACACAACTTGACATAACAGTAAAGGGACGTTTACATTGGAAGTAAGCAGTAAAAAGTAGGAAGTAAGAATAAGAAATTGACCAATCATAGTTGATTATTCTTCTCACATTCGACTGTGGTTAGTCAATTTCTTACTCTTACTTCCTACTTCTTGCTATTTACTTCCAATGTAGACGTCCCTTAAGGCCCGATCTACAATAGATGGAGTAAGGAGTAGGAGTAAGAAATAAGCAGTAAGTAAACAGACCAATTACAATTGATTATTTTTGAAACGTGAGAATGGAATTGGTCAATTTGCTTACTGTTTATTTCTTACTCCTACTCCTACTCCTTACTCCATCTATTGTAGATCGGCCTAACGTAAGACGTACCGTAAGAATTGGCCAATCACGTTGAAGGGACGTCTACATTGGAAGTAAACAGTAAGAAGTAGGAAGTAAGAGTAAGAAATTGACCAACCACAGTCGAATGTGAGAAGAATAATTAACTATGATTGGTCAATTTTTTATTCTTACTTCTTACTGTTTACTTCCAATGTAGACGTCCCTTGAGAATTGTCTAATCGTAAGGTCGCCATTTTGATGAATACTCGATCGTAATTGGTCAATTCTTACGGTACGTCTTACGTTACGGCTACGGAAATTTGTGTGGAGTCCCTTAAGGGCGCCGCATACGACTATCATAAACCGGCCTTTAGCAGTCTAGTAATTATATAGAAGTCTAATGATTCCTGCACACAGGACGCGGTAATGCTTGCCGCGCGGCAGAAGTTCGCGCGACAGCCAATCAATATGCTGCTTTCCGTAATAACCTTCTAGCTCTTACGGCAAGCATTACCGCGTCCTGTGTGCAGGAGCCATAAATCTCCTGGATGTCCCAGAGAGATTTGTGCTATTGGGATATATACGTCATTGAAGGATTATAACTTCGACAAAAATGATATAATGATAAACAATGAGATGGTTCGAGAAGCATTTTAAATATTGAGGCCTTTACTTTCCAGGCGTATTAAATTCATGGCGTTAGTTCATTTACTGTTAAGATATATCAAGATTGCATTTCAAAACGTTCTTTTAGAGGAAAATTTTACTCAATACCTACAGTTCACGTTACATAACTATAGTCTCGAGTAAAATTTCCTTAAAAAGGATGTTTTGGAACGCAACCCAAATTAATTTAAGGAATAGCGACAATTCTATTTCGAACTTCATATTTTCCAATTGTAATTTTGCATTAAAATATTATTTGTATCAAAAAAGCTGTGGACATAGAAAAAATCGAATTTAAAAATATAAAAATATAATCAATCGTTTAATAAGAAAAGAATCGAATTTCGATTTATCGGATGCAACATACTCATCCCACTCGTGAGTGGCTTTTGACCTTAATGATGGCAACCGCGAATATGCAGTGTGGCGATTTTTTAGAATTTCAGGTATTTCTGAAAGTAGTTATATATAGTACTCGCGCATTTATGTACGTCGTTATATAAATATAAAAAATATATATATATTTAATATAACTTAAGTTATTTCAAGCTAACCACAAAGACATTAAAATACCGGCTAATAATTCTACCTTTTTTTATACAAAAAATATATTACAACAGAAGAAAATTGTTTAAATCTTAACGATACATAAATTATCAACGTAATTGTTTGCAAAAATCTCATCTATGTAAAGTTATACGTACACGTGCAGCTTTGTTGTGAGGTTAGGAAACTGAATGTAAGATTTGCTTTAAGGCTAACTGCTACAAAAAAAAATTATAGATATGTGTATGAACTTAAATATAACTTAATTTATAATATTATTCCTTATAAGATAAATATATGATTTTTTCGGGATCGTGATATATTTCGGGATCGTGATATACTTACCAGAAATATTAAAATTTATTAAACTAGATTAAATAGTAAAAACTTGTAATACATATTTCAGGATACATTAAAAAAAATGAGGCTGATAGATGATAAAATAATATATATGCTGAATACTACAATTCCAACTGAATCCTTCAAAGGCCAAGTGGATCCTACTATGCAGTGTAAAGACTTATTCCAGCAAATAGAATCGGAACATACTCAAAGGGAACAAGCAATCACAAAGTGTCTGGATATCACTAAGGAGAAAGTTGTGCATATGAAAAAATTAAAAGACAATGGTGACGAGAGTCCAGCTCTTATAAAAAGCTTGAGAAAAGAACAGAATAAATTGAGATTGTTACGAGCTGAACTCAATATAGAAGAAGTAGTAAGAAAACGCACAGTACAAGTCTACTATGAAAGATGCCGTGGATTTTATAAACCACCACATATGAAAGTATAAAGGCTTCCAATGAATCCAATGAACTGAGGATCATTTGGTTACATCATTGATTATTAGATTAATTGCTATATCCTTTGAATTATTTACATAAATTGTATATAGCAATTTTAGAAATATTAGATACAATTTGTTTACTCCCTAAAATGTTACATTTTGCAATGAGCATATATAGTATATAAAAATCTTTCTACGAGCGTTTATTACATTTGTGTATCATCTACAAGGAATAATGTACATGAATCATATAGATCATATGGTCGGGTCTACAATGTTGTATGTATCGCCAACAAATTGAATTATCAATAATGTACATAAATCAAGGCTCCTCACTTAAACAATGTAATTGTACAATAGATGCATGTATATACACATATACATATATAGGGAGTGTGTTTTATTATCTGGTTATTGTAAGGAAATACTATTTTATAAAACGCTCGTTATACATTACAAATACAAGCAATCAAACCAAAACATTTAATGCCTTATGAAAAATATCATAAGTAATATCATAAGTGATAGAGTAATAGTGAGATTGTTTCACATCTGCTCGCGCTTTTTAAAATTTTGTATCTTAAATAATTCTATCTTGTTTCTATGTTTCTCCATTCTCATCTCTGCCGAGTGAATGTTATGAAACTTTATAGTTTGTCATTTCTATTTATTTTTATCCTTGTCCAACATTTCCTGATACCAATCATCTCTCATTTTAGACAAATTTTCTCCTTTCTCAGCTTGTCTCTTCCCCAGTATCGCAGCAATTATGCAACCAATTATACTCATAACTATCATGTAGTTTATAGTTTTAATTCGAGCTTTACTCCTTGCAGTGAGTAAACAATCAATTCTGGAAAAAAGTGAAATTATAAGACATGAAAACATACAAAAGAAATTATATTTTTTGTAATTATCAACATTAGAATTTTTGTAATTATCAACGTTTTATTCACAAAGAAACTAGAAAATGTATACTCTTGTTTATTTTTACTTTTACATATGCAAAAGTTTCTAAATATTATAAAAATATAAAATGTAATACATACGTAACTTTTTCAGGAACTTCTGCAACGCTAGGATATCGTTTTACCCAAGCCAACACTAGTTTATCAAAATTGGTTACACGATGCATACGCGTTCCTAAAACAAGGATACATATCTGCATTTTTATTGAGAAGCTTTTTTCTTCGTCTACATATTTTTTTCTATGATAGAATTAAAAAGAGACAGATAAGCTGTAAGTTCTCTAGTATTAAATATTGGTTTTTTTGATATAAAATTAATTTTATATCAAAAATTTTAATCTATGAAAGTATTTTATGTAAAACCTCTTTATACCTAAGACATCTTCTTGATCTTTTGGAGTATTACTACTTTTTGGTGCTTGATTAGATTCTCTTGTAATACTGCTACGAGTAAACCATCTCGCTACTATACAGGATTGGCCACTACGGGCAAACTGTCTGGACAGCATCCTAAGTGAGAGGAAATAATTAAAAGTATTATTAATATGATGAATATTATATACTATATTATACTATATTATACTATATTATTATATAGTAGGATATAAAATCATTACATGGTGTTCGAAATCAATTTTTCTTTGAGAAACTTAAAACCCAAAGAAATATTTTATATTGGAAGTTAGCAAAATTTTTACAGAAATACATAAGGATACAAAGATATAAATGAAAAAATAAAACTTGTTCTTTGATTAGTCATCAAATGGTTCTTATTTTAACAACTGTCCTATTAAAATTTTATTAATAAAAATTGATACCACATACACACATATTTGCTAAAGGAGTTGTCATTAAAATATGATAAGCATCTTTGAAACATTCTATCATAATTTTTTAGCCATTTTTATGAATGTGATTGAAGTATATACACAAAGAATTGAGGTTTTATAAATAAAACAGCCTCAGCTACACAAATTTAAATCAATACATAGAAATATTACATTCACTACACTTTGTTGAGCAATCGATTTACATAAAAAAATAAATAGTTGCATATATAGTTTATAAAATAATATAGTCCATAAAATAGTATAATATAGTCACAGTACAGTATAAGCTACAGTACACCAGTTGTTACAACCAGCTGTTTGTCAAAGTTTTTAATGTCACAATGGCACGAAGCTAATCCGCTCGCTAATCCGCATTCACTAATAAACGGAAGTGATTGATTTCTGATTGTATCGCAAGTACTCGATAACAATGTGATAAGAGATTATTATATCTCTAAATCTCTTTTTCAATAATACTTTTAGGTTACACATCTGTGCGATATTAATAGAGAAGATATATGTGATGCTATAATTATTATTACGTCAATCTTTCGGTGTTTAATCAACTACGATTGATACAAAATTCACGAAAATCAGCTTCTCTCACACCAAATTGCATTTAAAGTTCGTGACACACTATCTACACAGAAATCGCTTGAAAATTGAATATAAATTGAAGTTTCGCGCAATCCAAGAGTGGCTTACGATTCGAATTATTATGAGATTATTATGACATAAAACTTTTCTGATATCGTAACGTCTTTCTTACACTGAGCAATATGCACTTTGGATAATTACTGTGCTCGCAAAGATCACCCGTAACACACTCCGTCGTGTCTGACGTGCACTGACATTGTAAACCATAGTCTGCTCCGTTCCTATATATATATATATATATATATATATATATATATATATATATATATA